GGCTGTGAGGACCGAACAGCGAGCCGCGGCAGCCGCGCTCCTGCCTCGGGAGGCATTATAACCCGTCGGCTGGCCGGGCCCCGCCCCCGCCCCCCGGCAATTCGCCCAAACGGCTCTCGGGCGGGGAAGGCGATCGGGCTACGGAGCTGCCGGGAGCCAGAAGCCGCGAGGGGGGCGTGGGGAGTCTCTGCGGGAGGCCGCCTGCTCTTGCCAAGGTCTACGGTGAGGTTCGATCCCCGTTTTTCGCGAGTTCGGACAGAACGGCTGGGAGACCGAGCGACGCGTTTTCGAAGGAGTTTTCCCTGCCTCCAAGTCAGTCTCACAGGTGGGACTTCGGCTGTGACTTTCCGCAGAGCCGGGTGGGAATTGTGTCGAGCGCAGCTGGGGCTTCGGAACGGGGAGCCCTTCACTCTTGCAGGTTCATTCCGCGTCTGTTGCCCCCCTCCCCCACGCCCCCGACCAGCGCAGCTCTCAAGGCAGGGTGCAAAGAGGCCCGCCTTTGTTTAGGGTTTCGGAAAATCCCATGCAGAGAAGGAAAAATAAGCTTCTCCAAATAACCTTCCTAAACTGCGGCGCTAAACACATTCAAGAAGAGGAAACTGATTAATTACTCAGGAAGGCATTCTACTGACTACTGTATAGTAAATGCTAATTACTTTAAAATTTAAAAAAAAAATTCTCCTGGCCCCACTCACTTTTTGTGCAGTCCCGGCAGGTTTTTGGAATCTCTCTCCTCCCTGCTAATGAAACGGTCCTGTGGCTCTACATCTCCAACCCTAATTCCTCCGCTTGACGAAACTCTCCGTCGTTTCTTCCATGTTCCTTGCTGGGGATGGGGTGGGGGCTTAATCAGAGCCGCTGTATGGCTGCCGTATGACATTTGCCAGAAATACATTGCAGGCACAAGCAAGGGGGTACGTGAGGAAAAGGTCTTGCGGCTTAAATGCTGCCCCCCCCCCCCGGTATTCCATACCAAATGACAAGACTCAGGATTAAGTGGAGTTTTTGAGCATGGGCGGAGTTCTTTGTTGTCACTGTTGTTGAATCATATTAACAGGACAGGATTACAGGACAAGATTGCAGTACCTCTGGCATGACTTTTAAGCAAATATTTATGTTCATCTCTCATTTCTCTTTTAAAGTGGCATACTGTATTCTATTAGGAGAGACTTGGTGAATTGCTTTTCAGAACTGCCAGCCCCTCTCATCCTTCAATTAAGTATTACAGCAATGGAGCAACTGAAGCAAAAGGGAGTCCTTCTAACATTATGTTCATATTTCAGCAAACCCTAGGGATGTGAGGGTTCAGAATAACGTACTGTAACAGTTCAGAAGTCAACCCTCTTTCATTCTGCATTTGGATGTTATTGAAATCCTATGCCTCAGTAACCCAGGTAAAGAGATGGAGAGGCTCTACCCTCTGTAACTGTGTTGAACAAAATACACTGAAACAATTCAGTTCAATGGCACAGATTAATATTATTTTCCAGGTGAGGAAGAGACTCCTTCCCAGCACCATAACCATAAATTCCTGTCTGAAATGGCATTTGAAATTAGCTTACAGGCCCATGGTTTTGGCAGCCTGCCAGCTACAAAATTGCATTCTGGACTCTGCCTTTCTTGCCAGCTAGTTTAATGGATTAAACAAAAAAAATCATTCACATGCTGTGCAGCCAGTAAATCTGTATCCTCTACTGAGCACAAAAGTCCAAAAGCTGCAATCTTACGTATACCTGCTAAGGACTCAATGGAGCATACTCCTAAATAAGCCAACAAAGGCCAGCACTGCCAGGTGGCCACCTGCTTTGCAGAAGGAAAAGGAGCACCAGCCAGAGTTTAGCAGAGAAAGCAACTTGCTTATTCCGTTCTCCTTTCCCATCTCCTGTTTCTGTGGCACACCTAGGCTTAATTGTATACAGCACACAACAGAATGAGTTAGGAAAACTAACTGGATTACTGCAAAGCCCTGGAGCCACAAAAGTGGGTGGGAGCTACATGGATGACCTGGTGCCTAGAAACCATCTTTCAGGCAGACAAGAGAGATGATCCTACTCAGTTAATGAGGACATAAGTTGGAAATATTATGGAAGGATCCCTTAGGGGGGAAAAACGTCCACTGCAAACACCCCTAACTTGGGGGTGGGATTAGCTCTTACTATTGACGCAACAGACTGGGAGGAAAGAGACAAGCTGCGGCTCTGCAATTGCTTCACTGAAGATGTGTGGCTCTCAGAGACAAGTCCTCCCTTGGCTGGCTAACACAGAGCTACCATTCTGAAGGATCCCACAGGTGATGTGCTATGACATGGCTACAGTGCCTTGGCTGCACAGGCAGTTCCCATGGTCACCCGACAGTGCATCATCCTGAGCCCACCTTCAGGGTGATGCTTACAGGGCTGCAAGATAATTGTTCTCCTGGCAGGTCAGTGAGTAGCAGCACTACCACTACTATGGGGTGCACGCGTCTGAGTGTCACGTTCTCTCATCTGGGGCAACAACCTTCCGTAGATACAATCTGATCCTAATAACATACACTTTGTGTGTGTGTGTGTGTGTGTGTGCGCCTTTGAGTCAGTCTCGACTCCTGGTGACTGCCTGGACAAATCCCTGCAGTTTTCTTGGCAAGATCTTGGAAGTGGTTTGCCATTGCCTTCTCCCTGGGGCTGAGAGACAGGGACTGGCCCACAGTCACCCAGTTGGCTTTGTGCCTAAGGCAGGACTGAAACTCATGGTCTCCCGCTTTCTAGCCTGATGCTTTAATCACTACACCAAAGCACACACCAAAACTAAAGCAAAGCATGCCAAAACTAGGCCTGTAAAAATGACTTCATCAGAAAATAGAGTGAGTGAATGAAGTGGATTAGTTATGGCTATCAGATTCAAGTTTCAAAAATGCAGGCTACGACTAGATGGCAGCATTGAGAAATGGGAAAGTCAAATTCTTTGCTGCCATCTAGATTTTTGCAGGGTAGCCATAGGATTAGTGGCTACAGAAATTACATTCATACATCACACTAAGCCATGGTTTGTTGAACAGTCTCACAAGAGAGCAAAGTTGTTCAGCTGGTTCCTAGTTTCACTACTCTTGTTCTGCATCTCTATGGTTTGACTGGCACCAAAACACAAACAAGACAAGGAATTACAAACCATGCATTCCTATCTGCAACATGATTTCGAACTCTGGGCAATCTTAAAACCATCTGTTTATTCACTGACAGATACCACACCATGCAACACACTGGAATTTTTATTTACAAAATTAGCATATTATGTTTGTTTTTGTTGCTCCAAGGCTTTGTCAGGATGCAACTTGCTTATTCCGTTCTCCTTTCCCATCTCTCGTTTCTGTGGCACACCTAGGCTTAACTGTATACAGCACACAACAGAATGAGTTAGGAAAACCAACTGGATTACTGCAAAGCCCTGGAGCCACAAAACACGCACTTCAAGAGAAATATGGTTAATGGTGGTAATGGTTTATCTAATCTCTATTTTAAACAGAGATCGTTTAAAAATGCAAGTTTCCAAGTTATTGTCTGAAGTGGGAAATTCCATGCCATTCCATAACCTCTCCTCCTTGGTTCTGGTGCATATATAGATCCAGTGTCAATATTTTATATAGTATCAGTGTATCTAAAAAGATCCGATGTTACTATAAAAATGTCAGAAATCATTGAGGACTGTATTTAATAGTCCCTCTTTTAACCAGTACTGGCTTGTCTGCTCCTGGCTCCAACCCAGATTCTCTTATTGCTCAAAAGTTGCCAATAGCTCCTCTCATTTTCTTTCTCTGCTCTTCCTGCTGTTTCTTTGTGGTCTTTTCTCACATTCCCAGTGGTCTTCAGTTTTAGCTCCTATTGGCAGCAGTTCTATGCACTTGGTCTGTTTACTGTAACTTACTCCGAATGACTATAAAAAGAATGCACGTTCTTCTTCCTCTGCACCTTGTCTGCCCTCTCCTGAAATTTAGCTCATAAGCTCCCTGAAATAAGGATCTGTTTTCTTTTTACTCTTGTGAAAAGGCAGGCATAGTACATTAGGATTAAAGCAATTTTCTGACTATGTTGATATAAGGAAAAGCTTTGAAGTTTGGCTCTGAAATCCCCTTCCTTGTAAATCCAGGAGCCCCTTTTGACCACACAACCAAATTTTAGGGGCAGTGTTATTAAACAAACAAACAAACAAACAAAAACCAGCAAATTTCCCACACTGGTGAAGTAGGCACCATGCAAAAACAGAAGCAGAAGCCCTAAAATAGCACAAAGTAGTTTTAAATAGAAAGGCCACCCCTCCAAACCCCAGAAAAAAAGTCCAACCCTGTTGCATGTGAAGTAGCTCTGGCTGATTTACTCTCAATATTAAGTGTGATCCCAGGCAGCAAAAAGTCGCTCATCCCTACACTACTAGTTATCTTTCACCAATGCACCTACTGTCCAAATATTCTGATGACTGCTCAAGCAGGCACACAAAGAAGAATGTTCTTAGGGTGCCAAACACTTTTTTTCCCCCTTCAGGCCAATGAAAGGGCTTTTCTTTATCTAAATAGTCTTTCTGGCCATCAGTATAAAATTTGAAGGACTAAAAAAAGAGGTTATTTTTCATGGTATACAGTTTCCCACTTGAACGTATAAAGAAAAGACAGCACTAAATTACAGAAAGACAGAGAGCACCTTCATTCAGAGGCAGCTTTTATTAAAATGGGGTGACATCTAAAAGGATACAGTACAAAAAAAATTGGTCCAAGGGGAAAGGATGGGGAAGAAGAGAAAACCACAAAATGCAAAGCATAATACGGAGCAATTTAAAAACCGTCTGCAAAGACAGCCAACCTCAGAGTTTTCTTCACCTATGCTTGTCCCGAGAGCCAGTGACAGCCACCTAAGGAACCAGGGTTCTCTTCCCCAGGACCACAAAGCAAGGAGTGGCAGAAGGGCAAGGTGGTCTTTCATATGGCAAATACAAGATTGAAAGATTAGAGTCTCCCATACTGAAGATGGACATACGGGTGCACACACATGGATCAGGGTTCTGAATTCAGAGCAGTCCCTAGCCTCATTCTGGACATGGAAGAGGATGGGGGCTTGTCAGTAACTTGATTCTTGCAGCTAGTATCAGAAGAGAAGCAGCCGGGACCTGTCCAGCTGTATTACAGTTCCCAAAATCAGCCAGCAGAAAGATGCAACAGCATCCCCACCCAATCCTACCAATAGGTGCCCAAGACTAAGAAAACACAACCTAAAAGTGAAATGTCAGTTTTGCCCACTGACGTCTACTCTGCTGTGCCTCAGCGACACCTGCTTGCACAACTCCATTCCCCACCTCTTAATTCGCCCCAGAAACCTGCTCTGTGCAGTCAGGTGAGGAAGTCAAAAGGAAAGTAACTCTAGTCTGAAGGAAACAATCTTCTACCAAGCACTGTAGATACAAAGAATTAGTGCTGGGGATTGGGAGGAGGGGGGTGGAGGGCAGAAGAAGAGATAAGGAGTTGAGTTAGAAAAGCTTTCTTCCCCAGAAGGCAGTGACTTGTGATTTTCATTGTGCCCAAGAAGGTGGCCGATGACTTTACCTGGCACCTCTGCCAGTCATCCCCTCCCCTTTAGAAAACAAAAACAGACACCCACACGGAAACAAAGATTGTGATCCTGGATTGCAGCTACCTGAAGGCCACACACAGGGAGAGTCCATTCCTTCCCAACAGATGAATCTGTATTAGGCCTCCTGCCCACCCCCAGGAAAGGCCAGAAAATATTAGAAACCTGCCCTCTTTTCAGAGCCTTTAACTTGGGCCCTACCATGCACCAACACTGCCCAGCCCACTATTCTGGGGGAGAGAGGAGGGTGGCTGGGCCACCATGCTATGCTCTGAATGGAAGCTGTCTCAGGTGTGGAAGAACTTCAGGCAGAGCTGGACCTGGGGAGGGTGGGCCTCAAAACAAAGGAGAGCCAGGCTGAAATGCAAGACCTTGGCCTGGGTACCAACATCATCCCCAATGATGAGAGGACTGGATCAGCGGAAAGAAAAGATGTTGGTTGGAGATTAGCGGGAGGTTCTGTGCTGGAGTAGGAATTGTACAGGCCTGAGCAGTGAATCCCTGCAGTGTTTCTAGCCATTAGAGATGCTGCCTGTTGGGAGGCCTGCCCGTTTATGTATTGCGGATTCCCAGGGCTTGTTCAAGTTCCTGCCGTCTCTGCTGAACCTGTGAAAGAAGACAGACCAACAGTCTTTATGCACAGGTAAAAAAGGAACAGAACTGCCTCTAGTACTTCCAGGTATCAGGAACAAGCATTAGGCTCCAAACCAGGAGCTCGAGTCCAGCCTTTCCCAATTTGCAACCCAGAACTTTCCATATTTATGATGATCACCCCCACTGTTCACAGCCTACACAGCCAATAATGGGCACTGCAGTACAACACATTTGGGAAGCCTGCTTTGGTCTTAGCATGGATCAGCAGCAGGAAGAGGTACTTTTCAACTCTTTGACTCCATTTGCTATTCAGTTTGCAGAACCAGAAAAAGGGACTAGAAATCTGCCCACCAGTCAGCAGGATTGAAGGATCCTGACAGAGCTGTTGGGTCCCATTCCAAGCGTTACAGGAGAGATCCCAATGGATGGATCCATTTTACCTTAGAGTAGAAATATCTGCATACGGCCTCTTGTGCCCACGGCTGGAAGTAAAATTCAGCTCGGCGCTCTTCTTCTGGGTTCCCAACAACATCAGTCATAGCCTGAAGGTGAGCAGAAGTCTCCAGTTACACATCTTGCTCTCCCTGAAATACCTGTCTCGGCTCTCGGCTCTATCCCTCTGGCAGGTGGCAGTTTGTTTTCTTTTTTTTAAACGGAAGACACAGCCAGGGATGCCCGTCCCCCGCACCCCCATGTCTGGATTCTCCTCAAAGGCTTCTCACCTTCAGATCTCGACACTGGGACTGCAGCCAGTCATTGATGAAACCCTGGGGATCTCTGGCAAAGCTCAGCATAAATTCACGCTGGGTCTTTAACTGGTTAATGGTTTCTATGGTCTCATGGATCTGAGATGAAAAAATGCCACACAGATACATTGGAAAAAGAATGGGGTTATACTCTACTGAAATGAGTTGCTGGGTGCAGGTACATGGGCTGGTTTTCATGGAGCTGGTCCTGGAAATGCACATGGAGTGAGACTGCAATCTGCAACACATCCCAGGCCCTTCCCCTTCGGTTATTTATCCTCTTGTACTTTTTACAAATCAAAATACATCTACTTTAGAGATACAAGCTTCTATGTTATAGATTGTAACTGATCCTCACTCTGAGTCATCCAATCTCTTCAGTTACAACCCTTGTATCAACGCTATACTGTTGTTAGTTTAATGGCTTCAAGAGCAAAATAACTCTAATCCCAAAGTTCCTCTCATGGTAATCTTTTCTTGGTCAGCAAATGAATACACATTATCAAAAACATATCATTTCAGTTTCACAGCAGAGGGAGCTTGACTATTTAAAATATTACCCCAGAAGTGGAATGACATGAAAGCTATGATTTCATGCATCTTTACAAGGCAATTGTCCTATATTAACAGTGGGACTTGCTCACAAATTCACAGTTTATACAACAGAATTTCTAATCCAGGGGGTATTCAGGTTAAGAAAAAAGTGCTTTATGACTAGAATACTTTACAGCCAACCTAAATGTGTCACATTTTCCCTTCCTTACAAGCTCTCCCTGTTCTGAATAAAGGAGTGGATATTTCAACTGTTGCCTGGAGTCAGAATCCTACAACTAGGAATCTGCTTCATTTCATCTTTCAACGCCTGTCACTGGGCAATCTTCCCAGAGGCAATGAAAGGCTCACTGTAGGCCAGGAACCAGAGAAATCGAGGTTAATCTGCAGGGCCACTAAAGGACTGAAAAAAGACATCTTCCAGGTAGCCTTTGAACCTTCTGGCAGTCACACATCCATCAGTTTTTTATATTAACATTTACAATATATATACCTAAAAGTTAATGATGTAACTTCCACAGAGTACACTGAGAACATAATAGAAAAGAACCCATGACAGAATAGCCTACGCTTCCTTTTGTTCAGGAAGTATCTCCAGATAGCGGTGAAGTAAGGATAATAGGTGAGATAATATGGAACATTTAGAAATGAAGGCAACGGGAAGCAGCTGACAACTGAAGACTAAGGTTGCAATCCTCTGCACTAGGGGTGGGCAATGTGGTATCTGTGATATGCTCAGTATTTTTTAAAATCCAAATGAAATATTTATATGAAATCACACAATATGCTGTCTGAAAAAAAGATGCCAATCTCTGCTATATATCTCACTTGGAGGCAAAGTCCACTGAAGGCAAGGATATACTCTGAATAGACCTATGTAGGGCTAAGCTTCATATTATAGGAAGGGAAAGAAAAACCAGACAAACCAAACCAAACCAAACCAGAATTCACAAAAGCCTATTCTGGATTCTTTTGATAAATTACTGCACATTTTAACCAAATCTTGGTAATTTTTGCTATTTTAATGGATTGTAATGACTTAAAGGATTGACAGAAACATCTGACCACACAGTGAAGGCTGGGTAGGGAACAGGAACTGTTATTGCTCAGACCTCCTGCAGAGGGATTAGCGAAAACCCACTTCCAGGGACTCACACCTTGTTATCCAGGGCAGCTATCTCCTGCTGGCTGGCTGTGGAAAGCAGGAAAGAATTCATTTGGGTTTTCAAAGTATCATCTACTTCTACATCAATGTCATAGCAAGCGGTTTTCTTCTGATCATTTGGATCAACACTGGGGAAGCAAGAGAAAAAATGCCAGAATCAGAGCTTGGTTTAACAAAGCACCCCCAAATCTCCAACGCAGAGCATATGGAACAATAGTGTCATTTTTCTCAATTTAGGGTTTTCAATTTTTGACAGCCCTTCACTGCTTTCAAAAGCTCTCTCTATCCATGGCCAGATGTCTGGCCAGCTAATTTTGCCTTACTTTCCTCCCTTCCTTTTCTTAAAGTGATCCAGAATGTTTCCATTTCTGGCAACATTTGAATATTTTTCAATTCTGCTGCTACTTGACTATTTTGGAAACACTATAATGAAACACACCTTAAAGTTCTAGCCTGTGATATAACTCACAGAAGGAAATAGTACTGAAAATAGAAAGCGTGTGCTGGAACACTTGTGTCTGCACAACACAGTATTCAGCACAGCTGAAAGAATATTTCATGAGTTTATGGTTCAGCCCTAAGTCCTCACATAAATGCCCCCATCTTACCTGATGACATGGTTAATAATAATTGGCTCTGGAGGCATAAGCAATGCATGAAGCCGCTGTGGGATCTCTGAGAACTTCATTCGCTGAGACTCAAATATCTAGATGTTCAAAGAGGAATTCAAAGGAACTTAGAAAGAATCAGGCTTCAGCATTCCAGAAACGACTAAGGTCTGTACCCTTCCTTTTACCTGCTGGAGGTACTTGTCACAGATGACATACTCCCGTTCATGGGGGTCCTGCAACTTGTGAGTCTTGATGTATTGCCACAGAGCTTGGATGATCACTGGGCGTGTCTGGGTATGGATTCCCAAAAGACGAGCCAAACGTGGGTCTAGTTTGAACTGTGGAGGCTGCAAAGAGATGGTAAAAACTCAAAAGGGCAAGAATAACCATTTAAAGTTTGGGGGGGGGGGAAGGTAGCAATCTGAATCCAGCAGCACAGAGAAAAATTCCTCCTTTTTGGCCCTCACAATGAATGCCACCTACCTGGTAGTCTAACATCAGGAGGACAGTGCAGCGCACATTCACATCACCAGGCCTTTTCACCTGGAAACCATCAGTCTCTTGGGTTGTAGCAGTCCTATGCCACTAGGAGGGAAAGAATACAGGAAGGGGGAGTAGGAAAAGGAGAAGGCATTCCACGACAAAACAAAACATTAGTGTGAGAGAACCAATATTGTGTGGGAGATGGATTCCAATCCCTGAAATAAAACTCAGTGGATGAACTTGGAATAGGTAAACATAAACATGGAAGCCTATGATGAAAAGCACTGGGGAAGAAGAAAAAGCTGACATCACGTACACTGCCTTGAGCCCCTTCAAAGGGAGAACAAGACAAAGAAGGACGTGGCAAGATTTGCATAAACACTAACAGCTCGGTTCTTTTTAAACATTATCTTCTCTGCTCTGTATGAAAGATGTACAACCTGAGGCCAAATCCAGCATGCAGCTCCCTAAGTTTTGCCCCTCCCCACAAGACCTCCAAAGGATGCCACCAAACTCTAATTTTAAATGTGTTAGAAAATTATTAAATATATAACTGGAAAACAATCTTACTCACAATTTAATATTAATTAAGCTTAAACATAAAAAAATATCTTTGTCCTGACATTTTTCTGTCAGAACATCTGGGACCAAGAAAAGTTGCACAACTCTGCTATATATGAAACTTCTCACCTCCACCAAGTGATTATCTGGGCCATAGAGGTCTTTGTCCAGCTCAATCACAAGAGATTTAAAGAAGGACGAGAATTTTCTCTTCTGCTTGGTAGCATCATACTTGGAGAGAGCAGACTGCAGGAGGAAAGAAAGAAAGAAAAGTCCTTTTATAGATAACAATGCCAACACCCAACACAGACATAGTCACAAACAGCACTGAAACCTCAGAAATTAAAACTGTGAACCATCAGTGATTTTTTTCCACTGGGAAGGGAATATATAACATTAACACTGATCATCATCATTTTCCATTTATTTCTAACATTTTATATGCCCAACTTTCCACTGCCACTGTCCCTTTCTACAATAATGTAGGGCCAAGTAAGATTTATTACATCTTATTTCAAAAAAGTTAGAGATCATTCATTTTTTTATCAATTGCACTCCAACCACCTGCAAACTTCAGAATAATGCGGGAGCTTTCTGAAGTGAAGAACAATTAGGCCATCCAAAAGTACACTAACCAACAGTGTTTAAAAGTAAAGCCTGGGGAAGTTCCTAAATAAGACTAATATTTCTTCTACAATGAAACTCCAATCACAGAAGAACACAGTATTTAAGTGTACAAAATGAAGAGCACCCTTACTGCTGAGATCTAATATGTGGAATTGCTTGTTTCAGAAACTTATATGACAATTAGTGCAAAAACATTGTTTTGGCCGTGCTCTTACACTCGCCTAAGCTAAAGCCTGCACTGTTCTGTCTCCATCTTATCTAGTTCCAAGACCATCAGGAGTGAATAATCAGCCATGCTACATTTCTAAACTCTCTAGAGGAATAAGCGCTGATGCCAATTCCATTCCTCACTCACATCTTCCAACAGCCGTCCTTCCACTCGAAGTTCCCATGAGGCTACAGTGCCTTCTCCATCTTCTGCATCTGACTTGGCTGGATTGAAGGTGTTGGAGATAAAAATGCGCAGTTTTCTTTTTTGCTAAAAAGGAACAGCATCCCATAGATGTGAAAATTAGAACCAACATTTCAGATTGCTACTATTATTCCCTCACCCTCCCAAACAGGAGTATTTCCGTCCTCACAAATCTCTGCATCTGAGTAAGATACATATCTTTCTAAGGCATTTCTACAACATGCAGGTGCACAGCATTTAAATGTTTTCTTGAATTCCTGTATTAAAAAATATATACTTGTTTGGAAGAAACAGCTATCCTTATAAATTAAAAATCTATACAGAAATGTAGAAAGAGAGAGAGAAAAAAATCCTGTGTGAAATCTGAGTTTTTTGTCAACATTTCTGATTAAAGCAAGGCTAATAGCAAGGTGCAATTCCTACATTAACACAGTGGTACAGCAGTGATTCCCTGTGGCCTTTCCCAAGAGTAGTAACAGGAAGAGAGAAGCCATTAAAGGTGAAGACACCCAGCACAGATCCATAAAGCATACCAACTATGCTGCCCTTTCATCTGTGTCAGTGAAGTAAACGTCCCAGAAGAAGCCACAGGGAAGCAATGCTCATGTCGTAACAAAAACCAATAACCTTGGCTCAAGAAGTTAAAGACACCACTCTGCAGATCAAAAGTAAGAAGGCTTTCGCAGGCCATTAGTCAGGGCCTGTATGCTAATAGCAGATGGGCTGAAAACCACAGAGGGATGGGGGGGTGTCATTCCTTCTCTTTGTTTTGCTTCCTACCCACATACCCACCCACCCACCCGGAAGGCAGACTGAAGGAGGACAGATCACTCTTGTCGGAGATCTGAAGTGATTGTTTCCAAAGGTCTTTTGAAGTAAAACCAGGGGCTGTGGATGATCTTAAGGCTGCTAATTGCCCAGATGCAAGAAGGAAGTTGTACTGGGTTAAGGGAAAAGGATACTAGATAATAAAAGGCTAAGAGAGGAAGTAATTCAGAAAACTAGCTGACCGGACGAAGAAGCAACCAGAAAAGGATAGCTATGAAATGCATCAGAAAATAACAGTTCAGCAGAATTACAGTATCAGAGAGCTATGCAACTCCTGTTTGTAGCAGCTACAACCTATAGAAGCCATACATTTTTCTGTCTGCTTTACAAAGTTTCACTGTTTTCTGCTGTCAGCAGCTGAAAATATGCAGAAGGCTTGCTATTTTAGCAGACATGGATTATGCTGGATAATAGTGAAGAACCTTATCGCACCTATCACTGGGCCTACAGAGCAGTGAGCTTCATATTGGTAGTGTAATAACGCTCTCTGGGCCACAAGACAAACATTCGAGTGGAGTCCTACAGGAGCTGACCCCTTCCTCCAGGCGGCAGCAGTGGAGGGTGGGTGGGAGAAAAGGAAGAAGACACTCACAGCTGTTTCTTCTGTCATCACAGCCCAGAGCCTGAGAGGTGCAAGGGTCCTCTCTCACTCCTGTCACTGTGAAGTATCCCTTCCCCAACTGAGGAGAGAAGGTGGTGGTGACAGTGGTGCTGACTGAGGCAGTGGCTGACTCAGAAGTAGCAGCAGAGGAGGAGATGGCATAGTAGCCACTGTAGCTCCTCACTCCCACTTTCCTCTTGCATCACTCTCCTGCTACGGCTATTGGAGCTTCACATGACTACGTACATTTTTTTTAAAGACTGAAGGCCTGAGACAAAGGGAGTCCAGGGCCCCATCCTTACCACCATCCTGCCTTCACTATGCATATGCCCGATTCACATACCACACAAATCATAATGTGATTTGTTGGTCTTGGTGTAGTGAACCCACTCATCATTTGTGACTTGCAAACCACAGATTATGTCCTTAAGTGTGTTGTGTGAACTAGGGATATGCAAAACATTCTCTCATGAAACATGCCAACCCCTAACTGGACCATTAAAATGGGACTGTTTGGAATATTCTGGAAATGGTCCAGTATGTTGCACCACATTCAGAATCCTCAAAGTGGCCTTTTCAGATTCAGAACATTTCATAATGAAATATTCTAGACATCCTGATGTGAATCCAGGTATTGTGGCTTATTCAATAAATCAGTTAAAACCTAGCCAATGGTGCTAGGATGATGTGTGAATGTAGCCAGAAGATTTATTTAATTCTTTAGAAAAGCTACAGATAGATGAATTTCAAGCTTATGCACCCTTCCTTCTTACCTTGATTGGCCTTTTCAAAGCCTCCTGAATATCCAACCGTTTCCGCATAATTGTCTGGTCCAGCTTCCTCTCAAATGCCAACAAATCCATGTATGCCTGAGACTCTGGTACTAATTCCCGGATCTAGAATGCAATGCAGCCACAGTCAATCAGCTACCTGTAGTTACAGGTACCATTGCTACCTGTAACTACCAGACCAAAGACCCAACATTTCACTCACTCTCTGAGGTAGAATTTTGTCTGCCATCTTCTTTTTCTTGGCACTGCATAAAGACCAAAAAAAACAAAAAAAAAAGATGATAAATTTCAATTCCTGATACAGGTGTAAGTAAGGTCCTTGTTGATTTTGTATCAAAGAAAAATTCTGCTACATCTAAGGTATTCTTTAGGCACCTAGGAAATCAGAGATGTATCTGGGATTATATTTTTTTTGGTCATACTGGGAAAAGCTATGCAACTTCCTTGAAGAAGAAAGCCAATAATTTATTAGGAACCAGAGTATAATCCTTAGCATATCAACCCAGAAGAAAGCTCCACTGATTTCACTGGGACATGCTCCTTAAGAAATAGGTGTAGAACTACAGAATTTGGATAGTACGTCAATAGAAGAAATCATTCTACGTCTGTATGGTGGAGAGGCTTAACATACATCCTCAGCACACCAAGATCTGTGAGTGACAGAAAACACTGAAAGATTACTCTCTGTTATTTTGGATCTCAATTAAATAACACAATGCAATCCATCTGTACAAACCACATGACACCCAGAGAGTGCTCTGTGCAAATACCTAATTATACGCCAAATTTGAGGAATTTCAATATGAGCGGGTGGGGTATTCAGGACAAACAGGAAAAGGAATGATATCAATATGTTGATAGTTAGATTGCATTAAACTTTTTGTTTCCAGTTTTTTCAGTCTGATGAAAGGGGTGTGAACCAGAGTTGCCAGGAGACTGCATGAAGATGTATCCCAGTGTGGCTACAGTTGAAACCCCTCTTTTTATACACTGCATTTCTCATTTAAGTTGTCTTTATGAGATGGATCCTCTTTCTAATTTTCTAATGAGCTATTTGCAGAAATTAACAGATTGAAGATAATATCCCAAAGGAGATAAAACTTTCTGGCTTAAAATAACAGAGAACTTCACTCCTGAATGCTAGGATGCTTATGGGAGAAAAGAGGAATCTCTTACTTGTGATTTCGGTTTTGTACTGACTGTTGCTGAACTTGCTGGATCTGCTGAGGAGCTGGCCTTTTGCGAGACTGGTCCATTCCTGACTGAGCCAACCCAGGTCGGACGGAAGGGCTCCCACCATAGCCTGGAGGTCCCATTGCAGGTCCTTGCGGAGTCATGCGGCTGCCAGGCAACATTCCAGGGCGCTAGGAAAAGAAACAAACTGATTGTTGGCATGCCTAAGGATCCAACCACTGCTGCTTGTTCTCAGCTGCGACAGAATCAAGTAGCATCACTGTTTTTAGAGTGTACCAGTTCAGTCAAAAGACACTGTCTGCATCTTTGAAAAGAATCCTAAAATAATTTTCTTTTGAAAAACGCCCAGAGTCGCTTTGTGTAAGATGAGTGGCTATATGTGATGTATAAACAAATAAATCTTATAGAAGATTCAGTATTACCCCTCCCCCAATAAATCTTTGATGGGAAAAAAATATATACTCCCATTTCTGATTTGGGAAGCATGTAGTCATGCAACTTCTACCTACAGGAGTATTTAATTCAGAAAAAGTGTTATTGTTCAATTTGCCAATTTCACAAACTGACCACCACCTTCTGATTTTTTCTAGAATCTTGGATAGTCATAATGTTGCTGATTTTGATTGATATTCTATTTTATGCCTGTTTCTCAATAAATCATTTCTGATCTTTGAATGGGAAGTAATAATAAATACCCAGTAATACAACCAAGGAAAGAGTATATATTTTACAGAGAAATTCTTAACTGCTTCTACACATCCTAAGTGTGGATCCACCATTAAACCAGGGCCATACAATGTCTTCCCCGCCCCCACCCTTCTGGGTCCATTCTCACGTTCCCCTCGTTTCTCCCGCCTCCCAGTAAAGCTAGACTTTTCCTCCCGACACCCACAGTCCCTTTGGCTCTCTCCTCGCACACTGCCCTTGCAGCCTCACCCCCATAGTCCCTCTATTTGTCAGTAATTTCTATGCCGCGGATCCCCCATTCAGCAGCCGCCTCTTCGCCTCCATCTTTCAGGAATGACTCTCATCCTCCCCATCCCCTCCGAGCCCCGCCCACTGCATCGGAGCCG